TATCCAATCCTAAAGCAACTGCTTACCTTGAATAGTAAGTTTCTTTATAATCTATACTTTATTAATACATTTTATATTTTTATATAATTAAAAATAGTCAATTCCAAATAATTAATAACAATATTTGTCTAAAATATTTCAAGATTTAATGAACCTTTTTAATCTTTTAATATTTTACAAGTGCCACTTTATCATCATAGATATTATTTCAATTCAAATAAAAAATTAACTATTAGAATAAATATAAGATATATTCAAATCAAAATTACAATTATTGCTTCTAATATTTTATTTGTATTTGAACCTATAAAGAGAAATATTTATACATTAAATTATCTTGATACTATTTTTTTTATTATGGTAATTAAAATAATTTAAAAAAAGTTATTTGTAGTTAATTTTTCAACTATTTAAATGAATTTATGATGGAATTATTATTATTTATTCAATTAATATCAGTCATTGTTAAATAAAATTAAGCATGCATTCTGAAAATCTTCTCAATTATTTGGATTCTTCGAAGATTGAAATAAGAATTTGAAAATTTGCAAAAATTATTAAGAGAATAAAATTTAATAAAAATATGAGCATAAATTTTGACAAATACAAACTCAAATGTTTTCAAGAAAGAAAAAAACTTTTACTTCACATTGAAAGCAACCAATTCGATAAAAGGGTAAAACTCTTTAATTAAAAATTATTTTATAAATTGAATAATTATTTAATATTTGACATCATCATCGTTAAAGTTTACAATTTTTCAATCAAGGTTTTTGATTATTAATCATTATCAGCTAAAGTTAACCATTTAATAGCTGCATGAAAATTACATATTTATTTTAAAATAATTCCTTTAAAATATTTTTTACCTTTGATTATTATTAACTTTTAATCCTTTTATTTTATGCTTAAAGCTTTTTCAATTTAAATGATGGCTTCATTAAATTTGCCTAACTTCATTAGTGATTAAGCTTTTTATGCAAATGATTAATAGTGCTAAGTATTAATATTTAAAATAATATCTGCACAATTGATGGCTTCATCGAATTCTTCAATTCCATTAATGTTTATACTTAATTATCAATAAACAAAGAAACCTTTGCAAAAAAATAATATTCGAACATTTTAAGGTATATTTCTATTATTTCATCTAACCATTTAACATAAATAAGTTTGCCTAGTTTAAGGTAAAAAAATTTAAACCAGCCTTTGAGAAGTGTTTAAATTCTTTCGACATGACTTTAAGTTAATGTTAAGAGAATTAGTTTGCTTTATCTTTTTAATCCTATTTCAGTAAACATTAATCTATTATTTATATTTAAGCTACATTTTAAATACAATACTTTTTAATTATTTGGCTATTGAGAGAGTACAGAATTAAACAATTTTAATGCTTCTTGCAATTATTTTAAATACATTAAAGTTTGCCCTTTATCAAAATAATTATTTCAAACCTTTTTGGCATAAACTTTTAAAATGATTTGGATCCATAATTAAAGCTTAATCAAAATAAAAATTAGCTTTTTCGAAATTTCCTTGAAATAGTAATTGTTAGCCTTAACTAAACAAATAATAAATATTTAGATTATATATTGTTATCTAATTTTATTCTATTTAATAAATTTAAGTGTTCACCTCATCAATTTTTTCTTCTATGTTTAGACTTTAATCTTAAATAAATTAAATCATTTCCTAAATATATTTTAATGAATGAAAAATAATTATTATATTATTATATTAAATAGCAAGAAGTGGAATTTTTAAAAATATTTGTCTCAATAAAATTACTGAGAAATTTAATTTTTACAAAAATATAATTCCAAGTTAATTTCTACAATATGGATGGTTATGATAATTTTAAATTCAATAAATTAAGAATTTTTATAATTACATACTTCATAAACAGAATTTACACTATATTTTCTTCTTTTTACTCCTCTATTTCTGGATTTTACTTTGCTAATTGATTTATATTTAGATGAAATTTTAAGAAAATTCTCATATATTGATTTCCTCAAGTTATTTGATAATAATAAATATAAAAATTTTTAATTTTTAGTTTATGATGGTGACTGGAGATTGTTATATCTATACATTATATATTTTAAATGATAATTAACGATATGGACTTGAAAAAATATGAATCAAAAAATATGATATTTATTGATTGATTATAATATCAGACCCAACGATTGAATATAAAAAATTAGACATTTTTTTAGAGAAAAATACAAATAATTGAATTATGAAATAATTATTAATAATGTATCTAATTTAACAAGAAAAAATATCTTAAAGATTATATTGGAATTATGAATCTCTATTTAATTTTATAAGATTTACTTTTTTCTTTTTAGAACTAACTATATTCATTATTATGATTAAAGTTTTTGCCTTGAAATATTCAAATCAATTTTATTATTAACGGTAATTAATTTTAATTTTAAAATCAATAATTTTAATTAAAAGCTTAAGATTATATGAGTCTCTTAAAAAAAAGTTGTATTTTTGAATTTAAGTAGTAGAAATTGAAATTCAGCTCATAATCTGATTTCTAAATTTTTTTGTTCAATAAATAACATTTTTTTCTTCGAAAACACAATACAAATGATAATAGTCTTAAGTTTGTAGAATTATTTTTATTGGAATCTTACTCTGATCTAATTTTATTTATTAATAAATCATAAAAATTATGTAATTTTATTGATTCAAACTTCCTAATAAGATTTATTTTAAGGTTGAATTATTTTATTGAAATAAATTGGGCTTTTAAATTTGAAATTAAAGTGCCGATTTAATTACTTTCTTAAATTCAATACTCATATTTCTAATAAGTATATTATGAGTTATGGAAGTATATTGTTATATAGAATAAATGACTTATTTTCAATTAGAAAATGAAAATATTCCATTGTTTATTAAAATAATTTTCATAATTAAAATCATTTAAAATGATTATTGGCATTACTATTCATTATTTAAATTATTTTTGATATAATAATGTATTAATTCATGATTTATAATTGATATTATTATCGTTTTTATGATTTTATTGAAAAGATTTATGATAAATATGATTTACATAGGAGCTTAACATAATTACTAAAATTATATTTCTAAATTTGCTTAGGTTTCTATAATAAATAATTTAATTTTTTTGTTTATGCGTTTTGATATAACTGAGTCAAGTGATAACATAACAATGAAATCATTAAACTTGTTTCTTCGAAAATTCAATTTTATTATTACAACTATTTTAAACTTTAAGAACTTCATTATTATTAAATATCGATTTATAAACATTATAAATATGTAATTCTTCTTTTTTATTAGAATTGCAAGTTTTAATTAAGTTCCTTTATCCAATAGAAATCAATTAAATATATATATTTTTTTAAAGTAATTTACTCATTAAAATTAAGTTTACTCAAAACTTTTTTTGTTAAAAAAACCCTTTGATTAAAAATAGATAGATTTTTATTTGTTAATCTAAAAATGTCGCCAAAATAGTATAACGCTTATAAGGCTTTAAAAATAATTTAAGGAAAGTATAAATATGCAATTATTTATTAAAAAACAAATCAATTTGTTTATCAAATTAGAGATTGTATTTAATATAAAAATCAGAAATATTAGATAATGATTATTCATATTAACACTCAAATGTTTGATGATGGAAATTAACGGTTACTAGTAGAATAATAAAGATGATTGATCAGATGAGTTTATAAATTCTTACTTAGATTTAGATTGTGTAATCATTTCCAGAATTAATATGTAATTTAAAAAACAATGCCTCAAAGGTATTTTATATATAAAAATAATTGTAATTATATTTATTTGATTGACTGGGTTATTTTGTTATTTAGTTTTTAGATTAGGATTAAAAACTAAACAGAAAGAATCTAGAAATAATGTTTATTTTCTTAATTATTTCTAACAGCAATTAGTTTAAGTATAATACAATATATAATTTTCAAGAAAATATTAGATATTTTTAAATAAATTTTGTTTTCTCAATAAAAACATTATTTAAGTTGTCATTTTCTGTAAAATATATAAAGTTGTTTTCAGGTTTTATCTAAATTATAATATAAATTTCTTTTTTGATTCTGATGAAAGATTTATTATTATTATTTTAATTAAATGGATTAAGAGTCTAATGAAATTTTAGAATGGAGACAAGATGATAATGATATAGAAATACTTAAGGGAATTGATGAATTAAAGAAATTACTTCCTAAAAATTTGGCATCGAAAGTTTATTAAAAATTTGTAGATTAAATTGATAAATCATTCAATGCTCCTGTTGGAATAAAAGAATTAGATATTAAGAAATTAGAATCAGAAGATTGTTTCAACATTTATAAGGGCCTATCTACTTTAAGAAAATTATTGTTATAAAATCCAGATGACGATAAATTGAATAAAATAATTTAAGCAGATAAAAATTTAGTTCCTAAGATTATTAAACTAGTAGAAAGTAGTGAAATGTAATTAATAAAATATGAATCAGTTTATACTTTACTTATCTTAATAAATAATTAATATTTTTAAAAATAGATAATTAATAATAATGGAATTAAGGTACTGTTAGATTAATTAAAATCTCCACATTTATAAATATCGACTTAGGCATGTACAGCCTTAGGAAATTTAGCACTTGATTATTAAAATAGTATAATAATTCAAAAAAATGGGGCTGTTGAATTAATATTGAATATTCTTTAATAATTAAAAGAACCTAGACATATTGAACTTTTTTGTTGGAGTTTGAACAATATAATGTTAATAAGTACAACAGATATTTAAAAAGATACAATTGATAAAGCTTTTATTACACTATGTAATTTGATTAATAAACATGACGATGAATTAACTCTTCTTGGATGCTTTAAAATATTTTAACAATCTCTTCATTTTACAAAAGAAAATTATAAAATTCTAATTTAAAGTTAAGCCATTGATAATTTATTAAAATTAGCTCTAAGTCAAAATAAAAAAATTAGCAAAGCCTCTTTTGATTTGATAAGTGGATTGTTATAATCTAATATAGAATTATTAGATCAAAATTTATCAAAGAAATGCTTAAATTTAATGAATAAACTTCTTCATCATTAACAAAAAGCCATTGACAAAGAATCTGTATACTTTTCTATTTTATCATTTTGTAATGGTAATGAAAATTAATAGATAATGTTATGTAAAAACAATACTATGATTACATAAATAATCAAATTTGTAAAAGATAATAAAAGTGATGAAGCTAGAGAAATCATCTCAATATTAGCACTGTTTTCACAAACCAAAAATTTAGAAATTATACAATCACTTATTAAAGAAGGAATTGTATAAGTGTTAATTCAAGGATTATAAATTGATGATGAGGATGAAAAAGAAGAACTTATTAAGGCATTATAAAATATCCTTAAAAGTAAATATTTATTATTCTATTTATTAGTTTATAAATAGATTTCAAAATAGAAATTATTAAATAAAAAGTAGATTGAAGCTATTAAAAAACTACCAAACAATAAAAGTAAAACTATTAAAAGTCTATTAAAATAATTATTCCTTCTATTGGAATGAATATCTTATATATTTACATATACATATAGACTAATTGAGTCTAATTCCAAATATTTAATTATAATAATCATGTCCATAAGTAATTTCTCATTAATTATTGTTCCACATGAATAGATAGATTATTTACTTTTATTCGAAAAAGGATATTTATTAAACTTCAGTTTTCTTTCAGAATCTTTTGATTGGATCTTTCTATCCTATATTGTCTCAAATTTTGATTTACTATCATTTTATATATATTTCTTGATAACTAAACTTATGTCTATAGCCTATTTAGTTTTTCTAAATAGATTTTATTAAATTAAAAACTTATTTATTTATAAAACTGCAAGAATTTCATAGCATTTAATAATTGCAATTTTAAAAAGATTAATCTTAATTAAATTTTATCCTATTTAAATTATAATTCAAATCGATTAGAATTTATTAAGTTAAATTAAAAAAAAATAGATTTATCTCTGATTTATTAAATTTCGAGAGATAAAGTTGAATGAATATAGGATATAAATTTATGAATCAATTTAGATATATTCTGAATAGATAGGTTTTGGTTACAATATATAAAATGAATTCAGAATAAAGTAATAGAAATAATCAGTATAGAGAATAATATAATATAATTATTTGATTTATTTTAGTGATTGATAAGTAAATAATTTATTAATGTGTGCTTTTCATCTTCATATAGGAGGAGCTGGTGTAATGATGGGAGATATCTTATGGAAACTTTATAGATAAGAGTAGAGTGATACAATAGTAAAGAATTACATTTATAATGAAAGTGATAATAATAATTATCCATTATGTCTTTATGCAGATTTAGATGATCGAATGATAAATGAGGTGAAAAAGAATAAAGCTATAAATTATAAATGCAATTCTTTTGTTACAGGAAAGGAAGATAGTGCTAACAATTATTGTAAGGGTCATTATACTATTGGAAAAGAAATATGTGAGATTTCATTAGATAAAGTGAGAAAATAAGTAGAAAGCATAGACAGATTAGATTAATTCATCGTAACATCGGCTTTAAGTGGTGGAACAGGATCAGGATTTGCCTCTTTATTAGTGGAAAGATTATCAGTTGAATATGGAAAAGTTGAAAAAAATGCATTCTTAATATATCCTTCATAAAGAATGTCAAATAATATAGTAGATGCATATAATGCAGTTTTAGCAACACATATGACATTAGAACATTTTAATTCAGTTGTTATGCTAGATAATGAATCTATGTATAAAGTCATAGATTTGTAGATAGGTTTAGATTTTGTTGATTATCCTCACTTAAATAATCTAGTAGCATAAATTATTAGTACTTATACAGGTCTAAGAAGATATAGTAAAATTGATAACAATAAATTATTTTCTGGGCTTTGTCCCTATCCAAGAAATCATTATTTAATTCCATAATATGGACCTTTGGCATCTGTTGATGACTCTATTAATTAAGAATTAAATGAAAAATCGCTTATATCATATGTAACTAAGGCAGAATAAAGATTATTGTAATGTTAAATTAAACCTAATTATATTTGTGCTTCTTTTATTCATCGTTCTAAATATAAGAATCCATTTTTTGGTTAAACTAATTTAACTCTATAAAATATTAAAATTAAACATTAAGAAGCTCCTAATATATTTTAATGTTAATCCAAAAATTATGTAGTTATTCCAGAATTAGCCTAATTAAAGTAAACTGGTATATTTTTATCTAATGATGCTTCTGTATATAATTATTTTGATATTCTTGGAAATAAATATGATTAGCTCTATACTAAAAGAGCCTTTGTTCATTGGTTTGTTGGAGAAGGATGTGAATCTGGTGAAATGTCTGAATGTAGAGAAGATTTACTTGCCCTTAGTAAAGACTATGAAGAATTAACATAAGAAGGATAGCATTAATGTGGATTAGGAGAAGATTAAGATATTGAATGAATGAACTTAATAATTAATTTATTTTAATCATTTTCATCAAACTTTATTATATCTCAAACTATTTGATTTTTATAAATCATAATATTTTTTATATCTTTAATTATGTA